TTTTAATTTATAATTTCAAATACTTAATAAATATTTGGTTCAGGTGGTGGGAGGAAGTACTTTTTGGATTTGAAAGTTTCAACTGCACTAAATTAAAGAATACTGAGTCCTTCTTACAAATTGATCTTTTCCCATTCTAATGCAATTTTCAAAAACACAAAATTCGTGCTTATGCGAGAATTTTTACTTTTGACAAAACTCTCAAATCCACTTAAAAAAAAATATTGGTAGAGATACATTCACTCTTAAAAGAAAAACAAAAATAAATTATCTTTTTAAATCATAAATCAATATAAATCACCTATTTTTCAACGTTTTCCATTAAAAATGCTAACATAACAAATAAAATTCTAATGTTTTTCATTAAAAAATTGATGATTTGTATTGATTTATAATTTAAAAAAGTAATTTGTCCTTACCTTTTTTTTTTAGAGGTGGATGTGTCTCAATTGATATTTTTTAAAAATAGATTTGAAAATTATGCCTTTTTACTTCTCATTTTAATGAAATTTACTCATTCTCTTTATATTATCCTCACACTTCCTTCTATTTACAAAAAACCCATTATATATAGGTTCCAATTTATAACGTCACCAACATTACCAAGCAGCCAAAGCACATCTATTTCTTCCCCGTCTTCTTAACAATCTTCTTCCTTATCCAATCAAAGAAGCAAATTGAAAATCTTTACCGTATTCTTCTTCACCTTCTTTCTCCCTAAACTGAAAATCCCCCATCTTCAATTTGAAGACAAACCTAGGAGCTAGATTTGCGACGAAACTCGCGCCTAGGTTTCGAGACGAACCCCATGCTTCGGTTCGTAATGAACCCAAGAACTGAGTTCCAAGATGAACCTCGCACTTGGGTTTGCAATGAACCTCGTGCCTGAGTTCGTGACAAACCCAAAGGTAAAAGAATAAAAGAAAAAGAAAAAACAGTCAGAGGAAGGATAGAATAATAGCCTTTAAAATATTTGTATTGATAATTATGTAATTAAATGATTTTAATGTTATATATGTATATATATTTTTTTTAAACAGTGTGAAATCTTTTTTTTCTTAGGGGAATGGGGACTTGGATTTGATCCCAAGTTCTTGTAGTCCTATGCACGTCCCTTGCGAGGGGTGACCATTTAGCCACCGAGGGCGGGACGATTTTACTGTTATATTAATAAAAAAATTTAACCATGTTATTAATTTTTATCGTATGGATATTTCATGTAATTTGAATAAAAAAATATTAATTTTTTCTTAATTAATATGTCAGATTAAAACTTAAATAGAAGTATTAAAAAGAGGTAGAATTTTTAAAACTTTAAGAATTAAAAAAAAAATTAGTACAAGAATTAAAAAAATATAGATTTTTTTTAAATAGTAGATGACAAAAAAAAATATTTAACTTAAGTTTTAATTTTAATTGTCTTATTTATGTTATTTAAATGTAATAATATTTTATTTTTTAATATTAAAAAATATATATTTATCTAACATTTATGTTTTAAAATATGAATAATTAAATTTTAATAATTAATTTTAAACTAATTATAAAATTAAAGTCATACAAAAATATTAAAAAAAAGTGGAAGTGATAAAGAAATAAAAAATGTCTATTTTAATTATTTTAATATTAAAAAATCTTTCAGAAAAAAATTTATCAAACAACTTTTCATTTATATATAAGTATTTCTATAATTAAATTTTACTAAATACTATCAACTTCTCAAAAAACCCCCACACCAAACGTACTCTTATCAATTAGCAGGCGCATACCCCTTGAGGCATCATATGGTATTGATGGTACAGGAGGGTAGGAGATTAGTTAGTTATGACAGTAAAATTTTAGGAGTTTTTGCAATTCAAAAACATTAATAATAATAATAAGTGGAGCCTATGGTATTTGCTTAGACTTTTCCCAAGATAATGAGTAGGGCTCATGTTAAGTCCCACTTATATTTACTATAATTCAATGAAAATTTGGAATTTAGTGGAAAATCCATAGAGTAACCTTTTACTGCCATGATGTATAAAAACAAATCCTACCATCCTTTTTTCAAAATAAAAGGTCAAAAAGGGTAAACATTGAGAAGAAAAAAATTAAAATTAGCTGTGGTAAAAAGTAAAAATTATAAAGTAGGATACACCTCACAAACAATATGAACACTCTGTTGTTTCCTTTGTAACGAATGGAGACCAGAGCAAAATGGAGGCCTCTGAATGCAAGCGCTTGTTCTTGATGAACTTTGCAGTTCTACCAGCAGAAAACAAAGGCTTCAGATATAGAGATACGGAGAGATCAAGGCCGCCAGTCGGTTTTCTGTGCGCATATGATGCCTTCCTTTCCCTGAGAGTAAGTCATTCTCATCTCCCAATGCAAGCTTCTCAAGATTTCCTGTAGGGGATCCAATATCTCTACCTTATCACGAACAATAACCCAACCTCCAGGTCTTAGTAACCGATCCATCTCAACAACAATTGAAACAGGCTGCTTACACCTGCATATATCATGTTCATAATGTCATGATAATTGATGAGTGATGATCAAACAATGGGATAACCATGGTACGTAGGCTTAAATGCTGTGTTTTAAGAAGGAATCAGTTGTAAACCTGTTCTTAAGGCGGGAGAACAAATGATCAGCATGCAAAAGATCGTATGATCTTGGGTAAGTCCCAAAAGACTCACACCAGTCATGGTAGATGCCAATGAGTCCACGTTCAAAAATGAATGGAAGAGTGTCTGGTGCATGGACAGGCACAACATTCATGACCCAAACCTTCTGCGACAAGAGTGCTGCAGCAAACCTATATCATAAGGGGAACAGCTCAGCACTATATCTTGACATGCTTAATGCATTTGCATGTTTCAATAGGTGGAGCAAACACAAAAATACAGAGCTGTTATCCATACCCTCCATAGATGGCTTTCATGTCCATTACATTTCTCACACTTGACCAGTCAATACTGATTCCAGCAAGATACGACTGGTCGACGATAGCTTTCCAGTGATTAGTGTCAGCAATCAGTTTTTCTTTGTCATTCATCCACTCAGGATAAGTTTCAAGCCTCTTTGGCCATTCCTCTGGCCATTCTGTCCCATGTTGTTCAATTGCAGATGGAATGACATGCAAGCAGGATTTCATGTGAACATACCTGTCACCAAATATGGTTGAATTCAACAAGTAAACTATCATCAAATTACAATTAGAAAGATAGGTTAAGCTTTCAGTTTTGGGTTTTCAAATACATTTATATTATGTATGGAATCAGGGAGCACCAAAATAAGTAAAACTCATTACAAAACAGAATAACTTTGTCAAGGAAGCTCATCTTCATTTACCAGGCAGCATCTGGATTTTCATTTTCTTTGCATAGAGGTGGAATTTTCTTCCTTCTCAGCTGATATATATCATTAGACTCTGGCTTCTGATAAATTTTGACACCCACTTCACTGTCCTCATCAGTTTTATGAGCCAAAATATTCCAACAGATGGAAGCAGTCAATTTGGTCATTGCTGGAAAGCAAAAGAAAGTATCAAGTGATGCTAAGTGGCAAAAACAAGTAGCACCCACCTGTATTTAAATTATTCAAGCACAAAAGTCAAAGTTTAACAAACAGAATAGGGCAAACCTTCCTCTTCTTCAAGGTTGTCATGTTTAGTTGACAAGATAAAGTACCCACTGGGTCTCAGAATCCTATTCATCTCCAGAAGTAGTCTACCCCCTGAAATTTAGATAGAAGGGATAAAGAGAGAGATCTTTATGTTGAATGAAATGAGACTTGAACAAGAACATTATATTTTACAGAAAGGAAACAGGAGATTATGTGTTGGAGAAGAATATACCATTAGAATGCCAAGGTATGTTACACCCACTACAGTGAATGGCATCAAAAACACCACTGGGAAAAGGAAGCCTTCTACTTGCAAAGGGGCTAACAAATGTAGGGAAACCTCGCTCAACGGAGACTTGTGCTAGGTCAACAAGATCATCCTTCAAGCCTAGTGATAACGTTAATACATCTCTATCAAGAAGAGAGGCCACAAAGCTTGAATCTGTGCATCCGATTTCCAGCACTACACGTATATTCTTTCCCCATTCAATATCTGGTACCATCTACCAAACCCAATCAAATATAAAAATGCTAAACAAGAAAGTTTCAGAAAGTTCACAAATGACTAGCAGTTTTCAGTTCATGGGTGCTCCATAATTACAATAATAAATGGTAAAATAAAACTTCCATTCAAAGTCAGCAGTGTGTTCACATAACAAGGAATTTCTAAACTCAGCAAAACCATTTAAAAGATTAGAGTTTTGAAAACTCATTAAGCATATCAATTGCTAGCAGAATTTGTTTTATTTATGTGTGATAGATACATACACAATTAAAGTACTCAAAGGTCTTACACTAAATAATGTTTCATTATAGACACAAGGCACATATAATGTTTTTTACTACTTTTCAGCCTAGAAGTAAAAGAATTGGTGATGCAAGATGACATATGAGAGACACATCACAAAGATAACATTCTCCAAGTCCTGTTGCTTCCGTACATGTGAAAAATAAACAAGATACAAAAAAGCAGCAATACCTGTATAACATAAACAACAATATCAGCGGGATCTACAGGTATATGATAACGTAAATATGGTGTATCATAGTTTTTTTTTGGCCATATATACTATCTGGCATGATTGAGGAAGAAAACATGTTCCTGAAACTTATTTCCCCTTGCTGATAATTCCAAATTACTTGATTCATTTCAAGGGTTAAAAAGGAATGAAGGGTAAATACAACTTCTACTCAAATGAGGCAGATATTAATAGCTCTCACCTCTTCAATGAATTCAAGGTAGTGAACAACTCCACCGTTAAATTGAGACTGGTTTTGAGGAAAAGTAAGATATTCTCCAGACTCAACCAACCAACTGTGTCTCTTAATATATGCAGCAAGTTTTGGATGTGCCACGTTACTAGACCATACCTGCAAGGTCATCAGAGCAGAGTATGAAACAGTCTTCAACGAATCTGCTATACAACGAAATAGACAAAGACAATAGAGAAAACAGCTTCTTCAGCATATACCTTTAATTTGCTCTCTGGCCAGTGCACTGGAGACTCATATCCACCATGGGGAAGAGGAACAAGACACATTGGAGGCGTCCTTGGGCAACTCCTTTCTGTATGTCGATAACTTTGCAGCTTTGCACTTTCAATGTCAATACAAGGAATGTAATTGTGCTTGCTCTTTGTGCTACATAATTTCCAAGTATAATGTGCTTTCGGATCAAACACTGGACCTCTTCTCTTTCTTGTCTTTCCATTACTTCTTGACCCGTCATTCTCATCTTCCACCTTCTCTTCAGGCTCTTTAACCACTGATTCAACTAGATCACCATCACCTTCTGTACCCTCCTTAACTTCATCTTCACCATCCAAATTTTCTTCCCTTCCATCCACCACTTCCTGTTGTTCTTCCCCATCTTCCTCTTCCTTCTCTGAATCTTCCTCTTCAGATCCTTCTTCCGGCTTTTCCTTTTCTGTTTCCTTAGTTGATTCTATCTTGTCCTCCCTTTTCCTAGTTGAAGCATGCCTGCCAGCCTTTTTCCCAGAGTTATGCGTATGAACAGATGAAGACACAGACCCAGTAACATTCTTCTCATCTTTTTCCTTCAAACCAGATTTCACTTTCCGTTTCTTATCTCGATTGCTTGGAACATGTCTTGCCTTTTCACTTTCTTCAGACACATTCCCAGGATCCCTTACCCTTGTACTAGCAGACACAGGCTCAGCAATGTCATCAAAGCTTTCCCTACGAGTAGTGAGAGAAGATGAAGGGTTGGAGAACATAGACCAAACGAATATAAAACAAAGACCCAAAGTAGCAACTGCCGTCATCTTCAGGCAGACCCCATGAGGACGTTTTGCTTGACGAGCAAATCGAGTTAGAGCCATATCCTTCTGCCTCTCAAAACCCCCAATCAATGTTGTCCTCCTAATTTAAGCAGAGAAGCAAATCAAAGAAGGAAATCTAGACCCAGATGGGAAAATGAATAAACCCGCCAAAAACATTAATAACGAGATTTAATCATAGAGGTAAAGCAGCAGCAGAAATTCTATAGAAGGATCGCCAGAAGAAAATAAGTAAAATTTCTTCACAGGAGATAGATCTGCAGTGACTTTAATTGAAACTTGAAGAAGACATAATTTAAATCAAACCAAAAGAGGATCTCTTGAAGATTGGCTTTAGGAAAGAAGATTGGGAGAGAAACTTTGGGGTGTACCCAGATTCGAAAATCAGCTAAAGATGAGTTCTTTTCCCTTTTCGAGCTCCATTGTTCAAAGTAGAGACGAAAACTTCAACTGGGTTTGTTGAGTACTGAGACAGTGTCACCCAGACGGCCAGACCCAATTCATAAATATTAATATTCTATTTAAGAGAAAAAAGGCGTGTGAAGAACAAGGAGTACGGGAAGTGCGGAAGTGGGGAAGTGGGGACGTGGGGTTTTACAGTTGCTTGCAATGGAGAAAATTTCGATGTTGAATAATTTGAGGAAGAAGTACAAGAACGTTGAGATGATGCTGTTCGGACAAGGATTTGTCACCTCAGAATCTCAGGCATCTCGGATGCAGAGATTTCAGGTAGAAGGCGCTTTTCAATGCCTCCAGGGATGGCAACTCGGTAGTATAATTTTTAGATCGATCGGCGCATAAAGCGCAGTGACCTGTGGGCCTGGAATTAATTGGGCCCGATTCTTACTTGGCCTGCATTCGGCCCCATTCTTTTGTTATTATTATTATTTTTTATCTTTTATAAAAATAAAAAGTCAAAATCAAAACGTTTTATTGTTAGAAATATTAACTTTCAATTTTAATTATGACTTAAGTGAAAATTACCTTATATCTCATTTATTATATAATTTTAATTAAATATTTTAACATTAAAAATATAAAAAACATCTTAATTTTTTACATCCTCATTAATATATTGCTATTGGCACAATAGTGAATTCCTGAAAGCTTGGAGAGAGGTTGGCTGTTCTTTCCATCTTTGTTTGTCTCTCGAGAAAATGCCTCCATATTTCCCAAAAGAAAAGGAGAGATTTGTATTTCTATGAAAATTCAATAAGTATTATATACGTAGAGATTTATTTGCAAACATATATTACACATTATATTTATATAAAATTTTAATTAATTATTTTTTTTAATTATTAAAATTTATTTATAATTATTAAAATAATTGTTATTTTTTATTTAAAAATTATAATAAATCTCAATTATTAAAAATAAAAAATAAAAAATTTATATAAATATAATATATTATAAGATATGTATAAATACATCCCTTCTCGTTATATACTGCTTTATATAATATAGAATCAAAAATAAAATGTTGTCATATCGTACATTGATCATTTTTGGCATTTTTATGTTCCAGAGACAGACATGGAATTTATTATCGTGTTAACTTCCTTGGCCTTGTTTTTTGTCAACGGAGATCAATCTCAAATATTTCTTTTTCCCAGTTAATTAAATAAGATGAAAGACATAACTTCCTATTGTCCTTTTGAGGGTATGATAATATACCATCAAAAACAGCATTATCTTGAAAAAGTTTTGTCCTAAAATTTGATTTCGAGAAATATTATTACTCATAAAATAATAGCATTCTCTTCGAGATTCAAGATCTTTGTTATGGATTGCTTATAAAAGGGGGAATTACATGCTGACTTATTTTACAAACAAACATCATTAACATAGTCAAATAATGTCTGGTTTGAGTCATATTCCATGAAGCTCACACCAAACAGGAAGCATCAATTCTCTATAAAATTGTAGTTTAGCATGCGCTCCAGCCCTGTCTAAAATTCATGTATTGTGGGGTGTGGCTAGTAGCTACTGCCAAGTGACTTAGATGAGGTCTGGTAGCCTGGAATGAGTGGGAATGGAAAGAGTTTGATTCCATTCCTTGGTGTGGCAGAGCAAAATGAACAGAGAATGGACATTCCCGTGTGAATGTCGATTCTCACTTCCCTAGGAATTACCATTCCCTGCTTAAGAGCAAAGAATGAAAATTCCATTCCCACATGGAATTGATTCCAGCCTCGATTCCATTCCCAACTCAATGATTACCTGTACCAAACCTGACCTTAGTTCTTAGCATCTAATATTCTGACTCTATCTATATGTTTTGATTATAGTGTGGCAAAAAAAAAAAGAAATTATGCGAAATTTCACCCATCTTTTGAGGAGTCTCTCCCAGAAACTCGATGTGTCAAGGAAGATGAGCCTGTGATTGAAGTACTGCTAGAATCTAGGATTGCAGGTCTGGGACCGGGGGTTGCCGGGTGATGAGGAACTGAGGAATGTTGAGCAAGACCTCCGGCAGGCATTGGTGACAGAGAGTTTGGGGTGGAGATGGAGGAGGAACCACCGGAAGAAGGCTGTGTGGAATTCAAACTAGGAAGCTTTTCCTGAGAGGCATGCATGTTGACCTTTATCCTGCATTGCCAAGAATTGCCAAGGAATTACTTTCGGTTTTATGAAAAAGTGTATCATTACTATTCTGATATTGACTATGCTGAATTCATTTCACAGGCAACATTGAATTGTCATAGAAAAACAAGAAATCCATTTGTATAGCAGGTTTCTCATACAACAATGGCAGCAAGTAAAAGCCAAATGAAAGCAGAGCTAAACTAATTCTTGCCTGTTGTGGATATTGACATACTCATCAGTCTCATCAAGTATCTCCTCCTGGCAAAAGGAAGTAAAGATAGTAGAAAATAAAATGCATCAGCATTGGTATAACAAATAACATTTTGTAAAACCATCAGTGCTAAAATATGTATTCGTGGACAGAAAATGGATTATTTTAGTGAAGTGGCAGGATTTGCTCCCTGGTATTAGGCCACCACCAATGGATTAGGCAAATATATATATGATGGTTTCGGAGGCAATATTATTATCATAATGAAAAAACCATGTTCGGTAGATAGTTCATCCCAAATCTCCACAAGAATATCCAGCCAGAAAATGTATGTTAAGGATTTCAAGTTTACCTTAAGAAGTTCTTCAATAACATCCTCCATGGTAATAACACCAACAACCTTCTCACTGGATGAGAACTCTGGAATGGGAGAATTTTCAATATCCAGAATGCAGAATGAACAACCTCTGTGCCGCTTCTTAAAGGCAGGAATAGTTGATGGATTCTTCATCATCTGTTGACTTCCATGACTCTTAGGAGTGGAAGTACAAGCTTCTTGTGAGTCCAATGTAAGTGCCACATTTTGGCTAGCGACACTGTGACCATCCTCCTTGGAATCTAGTAATCCACCAAGAATCACAACCATTGGTATCAAAAATAAAACAACCAAATAACATAAAACAAGGTTTAGGAATCTACCAACAATTAACTACAAAAGTTTGAAAACTCAGGAAACCACCAAAGAGAAATCTTTACAAAATCATACATGGTGCATGAAACACAAAAACTATCAGTAATTTGGAAGTTCAGATAAGTGGAACCATGACATTTTAAGTTAGATTAGAACTGACATAAAAATTGGAAAAAAAAAAAAAAAAAAACAGTTAGAGCATTCTTCTGTTCCAGGCAAACATCCTTACCTTTTTTCGACACTGTCTCTGCTTGCCCTCTAGGCTTCTTACAGCTGTCCTTGCACTGATCTGTCTTATTCAGATCCTTGTACACAACAGCTATATGGCTATGACCCTTCTGGAATTCATTTAGAATATCATATAGGGGAACGTCTTCTGATATCCTATGGAATGAAGGCAGAAAATTTATCTAATAAATTAGCTCCTTCTAAGAGAGAACACTAACTATATCCATTATGTTATTTTTCAGCCAAAAAAACATTATGTAAGTCTACCAATTGAATATTCCACCAAATTTGCATACAAAACATAACAAAAGAAAAAGGACAAATTTTACCGAGGAATTTTTCTTATGATCATTTTTCTCAAAGGAACTGCATCTCTTGGATCAACACTTAAAAGATTTTTAACCTGCAGAAAGGGAAAAAATTCTAGTCATGGTTTCCACAATGACATGTATTATGGTAGGTACAAATACCATAGTACAAATATAATTGAACATAGATGAAACTATGCTAGTTATTCTTTCTGTACAGGATCTTTTACTTAAAGAAAGCAATGAAATGATATTACCAGAATAAGTCCAATAATATTGGTTGGATTTCCATGGTAAACTGGAACTCTACTATGACCCATTGTCATTATCGAATTCAGTGTCTCCCTAAAAGGCAAAGAGAGAGAGAGAAAGACAGCTTAGGAAACATAGAAGAAATAGGCTCGAAGAGAGAGCACAAACAGAAATCCTCAAACCCACAAAGTAAGAGTTGCATCCAGATCAAGGGAAAATGCCTTCGATATAGATTGCATGGCATCTTTTGCAGTTTTTTCAGTCATTTCAAGTGCGCCAGCAATGATAGTCGTCTCATCATGTGTTAGAGTCCCACCTTTACCAGCCTAAAACCAAAGCATGTGCATACTGAATTTCATCCAATAATCAAGCATAGCATGGGGTTGTTTAAACCATTAAATGTAAGCCAAGGCAGATTGATGCTAATTGTCCAAATTCCAAACAGCAGAAAGTTTGAATATTTCTGCACCAACTACTTCTAAAACTTCAAAAGTTGAAAATAAATAAGTTGATTTGATTTGATACCTTATTGCCATGGAAGTCCACAAAAGTCTTTAGCTCTGCTCTACGTAAAAGAGCAGCATGTCCCTTACCCAACATCCAATCCAGAACCTAAACATTATATAGAATTTAGTAGAAACACAACAAAATAAGATCTAATTTCAGGTAGCAGAAAATTTCAATTCCCATTGAACGTCCAAAATCATCATATATAAAACAAAATTATTAATCTTGGAAAAAAACAAATTCATGAATGACTATACCTTACTAATTGGATAAGAAATTGGGAAAAAAAGCATAAGAAGTACACGGACAAATGGGGCAGCAGCAGCTCCAACTTTCAAGCCATAGCGAGTACAGATTGCTTGTGGTAATATCTGTAGTTGAACATTCAAGAGCATTAAGAAGAATGCTGCATCCCCAACAACTACAATTGGTACCCAGTTTAATACATAGTAAACAAACCTCTCCAAACATGAGTATCAGGGTCACTGATATCAGAATTGCAGCCCATGGAGGCACAAGCCTATCCAAAAATATGGGAAGAGCCTGGACACAATACGAAAAGGCTAAAGAAACAATTTACATGATTTTGAGTATAACACCCAACAAAAGAAATGGCCAGAAAAGTCACCTCCATAGCTAAAGAGTTGCCAATCAATAGAGTACATAGCAGAAGATGCTGATTCTTTACCACAGGAAATATCTTAGCTGCCATAAAACAAAGCAGAAATTTCAATTGTTAACCATACTTGCACACACATTGAATTCCAACCTACAAAATAACAAGCTCATTGACTGATCTAAACTAACTGGGTCAATTCGGATTCCAAGGAAAAACACATGTTCTAAAGAATAAGGAAACGAAAACAAAACCACCCTAAAAAAAGTTTGCAAATTTCACCTTCCCATTTCAAAGTCATCAATTTTTCAATTCATCCCAAACCCAGAGTAGTAAATGAAGAAACAAAAGGAAAAAGAAAGGAAAAAAAAAAAAAAAAAGTACCGGCATGGATACGATCTTGAGGGCGGCCGGACTTGATGAGGACTTCGAGGTCGACGAGACCCAGAGACATGAGACCCAGTGTCAAACCAGCCATCAACCCAGCAAAGGTCACTAGCCCCACTATTACGAGCACATACAGGAAGAACTCAGTCTCACAGCACTTCAAGTCCCCTGCCATCTCCACTCCCTGTCTGTTTACTGTTTCTCCCTCTTTCTTTATACAAAAATATATTCCTTGATTGTTATATCTGCTTCTTTCACAATTTCCTTGAACGAACTTATCAGATTGAGCGAAAAAAGAAAAAACAACAAAAAAGTGAGATCAGCAGCAGAAGTTTTTTCGGAAGAAGATCAGCAACAGTCGACAACTAATCAGTCGGTCTTTTTGCAGTCCGATCAATACAAACCATCAGATCATGGTCATCCTTACAAAAAGTTCAACTACTCTAATTATTACTATTTTACTTAAAGTGCATAATGTTTTCGTTAGATACTAAATTATATTAAATAAATAAAATTTAATTTATACCTAATGAGACATGTTAAAAAAAAATTTTTTTTTTGTTTTTAATTATGTATTTACTTTTGTTTATATCTTTGACTGGCTGATAGGCTGAGGAGGATTGACGAGTGAAGCAAAGCAGAACGGGTGTCGGGTAGCGACGATCACACCGACAGGTGAGCGCTGAGCACCACAAAACATAGCCTCTGCCACGTGGCACACATCACCATCCGTTTTCTTTTTGTTATTAATTATTAATCTTCCCCACGTGATAACGCCTCCCATCCCATCGCCTTTTTTTTTTTTATT